TACTGAAAAAAGTTGTTTGAATAAAAGGCGAGCTCGTGAAGTAACAAATTCTTTAAAAACATTTTCTATACCGCGGTACACGTATTCATTATACATTATAAATAACTTATTAAATAACTCCAAATGGAAAATCAAGGAGACTCAAGCGGAGAATTCAATTGCCACAAGTGCAGCGAAAAGGATAACAGCCGTATGGTGCAATGTGACCAGTGCGACAAGTGGTACCATTTCGCCTGTGTCGGGGTTAACAGCGGAATAGAAGACGAGAGCTGGAATTGCGCCAAGTGCAATCCGCAAACTTCCACCGCAACTACGAGTGCTGCAGCTCCCTCGAACAAAGCACGCAGCGAAATGATACCAAGACCTAGTTCACATTTCTTGCAAGCAACATCCTCACCTACACAGGATGCACCGCCGTCCGGCTTAACGCCATGGAGCACAGCTGACGGTTACGCTGGGACAGCAACACATACGAGTGGTTCCAATCAATTGGTTACCACACCGCTGGACCTCACGGCATTAGCTTCCGCAGCCAATTTGCCAGTACCACCGCGCTTTGTGACAGCACCACATATTGCAGGACGTTCAAACTACGTGACAACAACAACCACTGCCTCACCTCAATACCTTCGTCTACATACCGAAACAGGAGACCGCCACGTGCCAAATGAAAAAGAGTTAGAGCTACGTCTAGCCATGTTAGAAGAAGAGAGGCAGATTAATCAAAGTTATCTGGAGAAAAAATATGATATTCTATCACATTCGCAAGGAACTTTGGCTACGAGTATTCATGGCACCGGCATGAGGACCGCCCCAACACCTGCGCAAATAGCAGCACGACAAGCCATTCCAAAGGAGCTTCCGCATTTCCATGGCCACCCGGAGGAATGGCCCCTGTTCATTAGTAGCCTTGAAACCAGCACAGAGATCGCAGGCTACTCAAATGCTGAGAATCTAATGCGTCTACAAGCGTGTTTAAAAGGTAAAGCCAGGGAAATGGTTCAGAGCAAGCTATTATTACCGGCAATGGTCCCGGAAATCATTCAAACTTTGCGTATGTGCTTCGGCAGGCCAGAGCTAATAATCGAGAATTTAATTGAAAAGGTGAAAAGGGTTCCACCTATAAAAGACAGACTAGATGGCCTCATAGACTTTGCGCTCTGCGTGCGCAACGTATACTCCACAATGGAATCCTGCCGCATGGGGGCTTATATGAATAACCCTACGCTGGTGAAAGACTTGGTGGACAAGTTGCCAAACAACCACAAGCTTGCTTGGGCTATGCATCCGAAAGGACAACACGAGCCAATAGTAAAAATATTTAGTGACTGGCTCTATGCACTTGCTGAAGCGGCGAGTCAAGTAGTCGGATACACTACTCCGAAAAGAGGCGGGATTGTCAACACGCACATGCAAACAACCAACGCACAACGAGATGTCACCTGTAGCCACTGTAATGCTGGTGGACACCGAGTGGCACAGTGCGAGGACTTTAGGAAGCTGAGTTCAAGTTGCAGATGGGATGTTGTCCGTGCGCTAAAGTTATGTCGCCAATGCCTTAACGCCCACCGACGCAGATGCTTCGTACCCAGGACCTGCGGAGTGGACGGCTGTAAAGCCAAACATCACCCGCTCCTGCACGCAAGTACGGCCCTGAACGCACAAAACAGCCCTGAGTACCCTAGCGCGACAGCCAGCGGTAGTGTTAACTCACATGACGACGCCAAGCGAAAGTCTTCTCCCTACTTTCGCATCTTGCCGGTTCGTATACATGGTAATGGAAACTATATTGATACATTTGCGTTTTTAGACGAAGGTTCATCAGTAACCCTCATCGAAGAAAAAATCTTCAAGCAACTCAACATGAGAGGTGTTCCCGATCCATTATGCCTTCGCTGGACTGGTGACAATACCCGTAATGAAGATGCATCCGTGAGAACTTCGTTAAAGATCAGTGGCATACAGCATAACAAAGCGTTTAACATTACTGGGGTGCACACCGTGAGCCATCTCGGCCTGCCAAGGCAAACTGTTGACATGGCGAAAATTACCAAGGATTACCCATATATAACCGGCCTGCCAATACAATCATACGTTAGCGCGAAGCCGACATTGCTCATTGGCTCCGACAATTGGCAAGTAGCCGTACCGCTCAAGATTCGAGAAGGCAGTTGGTGCCAACCGATAGCAACGAAAACTAGATTGGGTTGGGCTATACAAGGTCGTTGTGGCGGTTCATCGTCGAACGCGCGCTTAAACATACACACATGCGCGTGCAAAGCCGAAAATGAAAGACTGCACAAAATGGTTAAGGAGCACTTCCAATTAGATGACCCCAAACCAACGATGCTGCGCTCACCGGATGATCAAAAGGCACTAGCCATACTCGACTCAACGTGCAGAAAGATCAACAACAGGTACGAGGTTGGACTACTATGGCGACACGAGGAAATCAGCTTGCCCGACAGCTACGAAATGGCCTACAAACGCCTCGTGTGCCTCAACAACAAATTTCGCAAGGATCCGTCACTGAAGCTAGCTATGCAGAAGCATATCGACAACCTTTTGGCTAAGGGATACGCAAATAAGTTGAACACAGCTGAGCTAGTAGCACATAAAGGACGCGTGTGGTACATGCCAATATTCGTGACTTGCAACCCAAATAAACCCGGGAAAATGCGCCTAGTCTGGGACGCAGCAGCTAAAAGTAAAGGAGTAGCGCTTAACGACGCCGTTTTAGTCGGGCCCGACTTTTTGATTCCTTTAGTCGACATCTTATTGAAATTCCGTATCGGAAAGGTCGCCATCTGCGGCGATATCGCCGAAATGTTCCACCAAATTAATGTAACTAATAACGATATGCACGTGCAAAGGTTTCTTTGGCTGGACAACGAGGACGACATTAGCCAACCCAGCGTCTACGTCATGCGCGCCCTCACGTTCGGTATAAGCTGCGCTCCGTGCATCGCGCACTATGTGCGCGACAAAAACGCGAACACCTTCGTTCAACAATTTCCGGAAGCCGTCGATGCTATAACACGTTACCATTACGTTGACGACTTTATCTACAGCGGGGATAGCGAACAGGCTGTCATACAACTAGCAAAGACGGTAAAACATATACACGCCGCCGCCGGGTTTCATATTCGAAACTGGGCATCAAACTCAGCAGTGGTCTTAAAACATATGGAAGGCAGTTGCAATAGGACTCAAGAGCCATTGCAGTTGAATTCGAACGAAAAGATTCTAGGAGTATACTGGGATCCAAATAAAGACGTATTCAAATACGCGCTCAGGTTCACAAGACTAAAGCGAAACGTTGTAGCAGGCGACACCACACCAACAAAGCGCGAGATCCTTCAGGTCTTAATGTCCATTTTCGACCCTCTTGGTCTTCTATCTAACTATACCATAACACTAAAAATTTTACTCCAAGAAATATGGCGCTCAGGCTTAGATTGGGACGAAGAGATCGACGCCGCAATGGAGTCAAAATGGTGCCAGTGGAAGATCGCTCTATCAGCCATGGCCAAACTGGAAATACCCAGGTGCTACTCATTTCATCTTGATGTTGCTGAAGATGTTCAACTGCATACCTTCGCAGACGCCGGCGAATTTGGTTACGCAGCGGTATGCTACCTGCGCGTCAAAAGTGGCTCCCGTATCGACGTCTCTATCGTAGCTGCTAAATCAAAGGTGGCACCTCTGAACCCGGTATCAATCCCCCGTCTGGAACTTCAAGCAGCCGTACTGGGTGCGAGACTGGCTTCAAAGATACAAGGCATATCACGGCTACAAATAAAAAAGAGAATATTCTGGACGGATTCAACGACGGTACTGAAATGGCTCGGTATGGATCCCCGACAGTTCCGCCAATTCGTAATGTTTAGAGTTGCTGACATCTTAGAGCGAACGAATTTGAACCAGTGGAAATGGGTACCATCGCTTTTAAACCCTTCGGACCGGGCAACTAAGGTTGACTCTAAAACTGACGCAAGCCTTTGGTTTAATGGTCCCACATTCTTGCAATACGATGAAAGCAAGTGGCCCTACCGCGACGACCTGGGACCAGTCGACAACAGCGAAGTGAAAAATCACTTACTACATATCCGGAAGCTGGAACAGAAGAAACTCACTATCAACTTCGAATATTTTTCAAACTGGAGAAGGTTGTATCGTGCGCTGGCTAGATTCATTCTTTACATAGAAAAGGTCAAAGCAAAGTCTCGGTCCCGGGAACTTCCCAACAGGGTCACGTTTGAAATGGTTAAAGCAGCAAAAACGGCACTAATAACTCAGGCGCAGCTTAGCGAGTATGAAAACGATCTACTTAGCCTAAGAAGCGGTAAGAGTATTGAAAAAAGTAGTAAATTAAACGCGCTTGATGTATTTGTAGATGAGTTTGATGTCATACGTGTTCGAGGTCGGGCCGAATTCCTCGCAGCTCGCAGTGCTGTGGTTCTGCCGGGTAAACATCACGTCGCCTACCTTATAGTTAAAGACGCCCACGAAAGGTATCAACACATATCACACGAAACTGCAATAAACGAAATAAGAGGGAGATTCCATATACCGCGACTGCGTGTCCTGTACCGCATGGTACGTCGAATGTGTCAAACCTGCAAAAATAAATTCGCGGTACCTCGTCCTCCACAAATGGCTCCCTTACCTGCCGCTAGACTCGCAAGTTTCGAACGACCGTTTAGTTATGTTGGGATCGACTATTTTGGCCCAATGCTCGTCGCTGTAGGCAGGCATCGAGAAAAACGTTGGGGCGTAATCTTCACGTGCCTCACGGTTAGAGCCATCCACGTAGAGATCGCCTACAGCCTCGACACAAGCTCCTGCGTCTTGTGCCTACGCAACTTTATTTCACGACGCGGAGTACCGAGAGAAATCTACACCGATAACGGCACGAACTTCAAAGCGACCAACAATATCTTGCGTATCGAAGCGAATCAAGTAGACTACGCAACTATCCAGACCAAATTTGACAATATTAAGTGGAACTTCAACCCACCGGCGGCGCCTCATATGGGCGGAGCGTGGGAACGTCTTATAAGGTCGATCAAGACCGTGTTAAATGGAATGCATCCCGAGCACAACTTTAACGATGAAACCCTTCGTAGCGCTCTCTTAGAAGTTGAGTTCATGATCAACTCAAGACCGCTTACCTTCGTTACCATAGACGGGTGCGACGATGAAGCACTCACGCCGAACCACATATTAATGGGCTCATCCTCAGGCTACAAACCAATTGGAACCAGCGGAGACCTGCGTCAACGCTATCGTCAAACGCAACTTTATGTGGATAGGTTCTGGCAGAGATGGGTGCAAGAGTATCGGCCGATCCTAACGCGGAGATCCAAGTGGTTCGAGAAGCAACCCCCTTTAAAGGTTGGCGACGTAGTGGTAATTGTTGACGAATCTATGGCAAGAAACTGTTGGCCGAAAGGCATCATAGTAGACGTCGTCACAGCAAAAGATGGCCAGGTGAGGCGGGCAACCGTGAAAACAGCACGCGGAATTCTGGATCGACCCGCCATAAAACTAGCTGTCCTAGACGTCGGCAATCCGAAGAAGTAAGCTCGGCAAACTCGCTTACGAGGGAGGGAATGTTGCCGCCGTTCCTAGTGGGTACCCATACGTAAGATTTCTTAGTGGGTACATAGACATAAGCGGT